GCACAAAAGGAGCGTGCCAATAGCCCAATCAAACACATTGGCAAAACACACGACAGCGAGGAGGCGAGAGCAAAAGGGGAAGAAGGGAAGGCTGACACGAAAACGGCACCGAGCCATGCCAACTAGCATCGCCCACCAGAGTTTTCAGAAGCCCTGGAGCGAGGTGAGGGGGATGGAAGGGCGAAAGGAGGAGGAGGAGGAGGAAGAGGAGGAGGAAGCAGGGTGGTAGAGGCGGGGGGAGGGAGAGTGAGGGGGGGAGCGGCGGTGGTTGCGCGTAGAGGCGGGCCGCACGAAGGGGCGGAGGAGGGGGATGGAGGGAACACCGATAGTCGAAGGTGACGACGACGACGAAGACGACGACGACGAATGGCGCCCCACTGCGCCTCTTCCCCTAGACCGCCTCGATCACCTCAGTCCTCATCCTTCCCCCTCCTCCTGCGTTTCTGCGTTTCTCGCTCTGAGCAGCGTCTCAACCCCCTCCTCCTCTTCCTCCTCCTCCTCCTCCTCTTCAACACCCTCGATCCTCTATGATCCCACTTCTCCTCCTCGCCCTCCTCCTCCTCCTCCTCCTCCTCCTCCTCCTCCGATTCAACCTTCTCGATCCTGTATGATCCCACTTCTCCCCTTCCCCCTCCTCTCCCCCCTCCTCCCCCTCCTCCTTGAGGGCGGTTAGGCGAACTGATCTCGAGAGTCTGTATTGAAGGCCTATGTATGCCCCAAGCTGTCGAACAGTTGGTATGAGGGCATGAAGCACTGCCCGTCGTGGGGTGCTCCCCCTGCCACCGCCGAGGCCACTTTCACACTACTACACGATCAATTGATTCAACGCGCACGTGCCTTGAGAGACACCGCCCAGGGGCCTTTTGCAGTGTCCAAGTCAATGTGTGAGCCATTGTGGTTGTGCCTCTTGATGCTCGCTCGAGATCCGCAGGTGGCTCTACGTAAGCAGGCTGTGATGGAGCCGGTTAGCAACATGCAATCGCCTACTAAAAACTACGACTGACACTTGGACCATCAATCGCTAAAAACGTGAAGTTCGCGCGCGCATGTCCTTTCGCGTCCTCTGGCCTGGCGCATAGTGCAGAGAAGGATCACGGGGACCGCGCTAAGGTGACGGGTGCACAGTGCGATGCGAGAAAATACGCGCGTAAGCATACATCGGCGGACAGCCCGAGAGGGAAAAAGAGAGGGGGCGTGCTTTCTCAAAGGCTCGGAAATCCTCTGGCCTTCTGGATAGTTTTCCAAGACTTCCCCGAAGAAGGCCGGAGGGCTTCTGAGAGGCCCCGTCGCCTTCTGAGAAGGCCTGCTCCTTCTTACATCCCCTCCTCGCTCGCCGCCGAGAGTCGTTCCTGACGTCGACCCCCAGCGGTCTCGAACCATTCCTTAGGACCGGATCTTCGTCCTGAGCAATTTTGTTTGTCGGCCCCGAGGCCCTGCGAGGGCCCCCAGAGGCCGCAAATGAAGGAGCACCTCTCGTCGCGATTTCTTCAGGACTCGAGGGGGTCTGGGGAGGGAGGGAGGGAGCTGAGTACAATTCCCCTTCTTTTTTTTACAGCCGCAGGCGAAAGCGCCGACGGCGGGCGGTCACGGTCGGGCTGCGGCCGCGACTAAATTCCCGGGCGCGCGCGGGGGCCGCGGATCAGGCGGCGGGGGGGGGGGGCAGCGACCCAGGGCGTCTGAGAAGCCAGGCGAGCGGAGTACAATTCCCCGCGATGCTGTCTCATTCTCCTCCCGACCAGCCGCGGGCAAGGGAGAGGGGAGAAGCTCGGCAGACCCGGCGAGGGGGATTGCGGGGAGAACGGAGCAAGGGAGCAGGGAGGGAGGAGCAAGGGAGCGTCAGGCAGGAGGGACCTCCTCCTTCTCCTCCTCCTCCTCCTCCTCCTCCTTTTCCTCCTTTTCCTCCTCCTCCTCCTCCTCCTCCTCCTCCTCCTCCTCCTCTACTCGTCCTCGTCCTCGTCCTCGTCCTCGTCCTCGTCCTCGTCCTCGTCCTCGTCCTCGTCCTCCTCCTCCTCCTCCTCCTCCTCCTCCTCCTCCTCCTCCTCCTCCTCCTCCTCCTCATGAGGGAGAAGCACGGCAAATGGTGGCGGCGCGCGCCACAGAGGAACAACAACGGCACAGACATACGCTTTTGATGGTCCGCACGGACTTCTTTGGATCTGCGCTGGGGGCCCCTCCCCGGCGCGCGAAGCGCGCCAGGGGCAGCGCCCGAGGCGCCGCCAGGGGGCCGGCGCAGACCCAAGAACTCCGCGCGGAACTCCGACATTTTATGCTTATCCGATTTTTGTGCTTCGACACCAGGGGATGGAGAGAGGGGGGGAGGGCTGCACAGAAGGAGGCTGCTCCGGAGACGGCGCATACATTGCAACATCTATATGGACAAGGCCCGCGCCTTCTATGGAGCAGGGGTGCTTCTGCGACCCCCCCCCACCCCTGCCACCACACCCCCCTGCGCTTGGTTGAGAACGGGGGAGGCGGAGGAGGATGGAGGGACCAGGGCGATACGGAAGGCGGCGAGCTGCAGCAGGAGGAGGAGGAGGAGGAGGAGGAGGAGGAGGAGGGCGACGACGGATCCGAACCGCAACCTCTGCTCGGCTCTCGTCAGAACAAAAAAAAGCCACCGCGCAGAGCGCGCAGGGAGACACCCTGAGTGCCCAGCGCAGCGCCTGCCGCGGGTGGCAAGCCAACCCCGCTCCGCTCTCGCCCTGCGGACGCGCATCTTTCGTGCCTCGGAGCAGGCCTGGCCCAACGCGGCTCGACCACCCGCACAGCACCAAAGCCAGCGGCAGTGCCAGCAGGAGCGCCAAAACTCGGGGAGCGGTCCTGCCAGCAGGGGAGGCGCCCGCACAGGCAGAAGGCCTGCGCACAGGAGGCAGCCGACCACGCCTCGCGCACGGCTGTACTTGCTGTCGGCAGGGGAGGCGCCCGCACAGGAAGGCTCCGCACAGGAGGCAGCCGACCACGCCTCGCGCACGGCTATCTGCTGTGCTGTCTGGCAGCTAGAACGGCCCGAAGATCCCGAGCGACGCGAGCTGGGGCAGCACGGGTCCAGGCGGCGTCTGACGCCTCCCCCTCCGCCAGCACGCAGGCCTGGCGCTGCGGGAGCGGGGGCCGGGCACGCTCGGCGCCCTGCGAATCCGAGTGCAGCCACGCTGGGAGCCGCTCGGTCGCCAGCAGGACCGTGCACCTTCGGTGGAGCTGGGCTCCGGCAGTCCCCACAGCAAGCACACATGACAAGACATCGGGGGTAACTCCGGTCTGGGCCCCCGAGGCGCGACTCTGCAGCTACCCCGGACAAGCCCCAGCCCCGAAGATTCGGGAGGGTTGGAGGCCCGAACTATCCGGGATGACTGCGGTCCAGGGGAAACCTGGTTTGGTCCCCCGAGGCGCCAATCTGCAGCTACTCCTGACCACGCCCAGCCCCGATGATTCGGGAGGGCTGGACGCCCAAATTATCTGGGATAACTGCGGTCTGCTTCAGCTCCCATTTAGGCCCCCCGAGGCGCCAATGTGCAGCTACCCCTGACCCCCCCCCGCCCCGATGATTCGGGAGGGCTGGACGCCCCAATTACCTGGGACTGCGGTCTGGGGTAACTCCGGTTAGGGGCCCCGCGGCGCGACTCTGTAGCTACCCCTGAGCGCCCCCAGTCCCGATCATTCGGGAGGGTTGGACGCCAGTACTATCCGGGATGGCTGCGGTCCAGGGTCACTCCAGTTTTGGCACCTACCCCTGACCGCCACCACGCCTGATGATTCGGGAGAGTTGGACGCCCGAATGATCCAAGATGACTGCGGTCCGGGGCAACTCTGGATGGGGCCCTTGAGGCGCGAATCGCCCCCGAGGCGCGAATCTGCAGCTACCCCTGACCACCCCCTGGCCACTCCCAGCCCTGACCTGGGTCAATGCAAACCTGGGTCATTCAGGCTTTGCAGGATCCTGCAGGATCTTGTGCGCAAGCCTGGGTCAATGCAGCCCTGGCGCCGCATGATCCTGCAAAGAACAGCGCCCTGGCTCACCCCCGTTTGCATCGGCCCCCGTCGCTCGAGCCACGATCGCAATAAGGAGCTTAGGGGCCGGTCAGTCCTCGAGCTTCTGGCCTCCTGAGGTGCACCAAGGCGCCTGAGGGCCCCTGGGGCCATCGGAGGACCAGGTTTTCCGTGGGTGTACCACGAGATGTTCTCCGAACTAGCGAATTTTCTTACAACGAACACAACATTCTTAGAACAGAAAGCCGATGCATTGACACCACACGGTCTCGGCCAGAAATGCTCTAAGAACACGTGGTGCAAACCACCAGTTTGGTGGTCGTATAGGCAAGCTGGGACGCATCGCCACTGCTTGACACAAAACCGGGTCGGCCAAGGCCCTGTCGCGAAGTCCAGTCGGCCGCTTCGTAGTAGCTCCCGAACCCAAGTCCGCGGAGTGCTGGAAGGGGGAATCGGCCCCATGCGGCTCCCAGACCCGGGTCAGTCAGAGGGGATCGGCTAACCCCGTCAACGCTCACCCCCGCTGCGTGAGCCCCTCCCCCAGGGGCGGCCCCCGGACGTCCCCAAGGGTCTCGACCCGTGACTGTCTCGGGGCCCTCCGCATCGACGTTGGAGGTGTCCGGGTTCTGCGGAGGGGAAGCTCGTCCGGCGGCCATCTGGCGCTGGGTGCGGGCCGCGGACGGGCGCTGGCCTCGATACTCAGACGATCCCGAGGGCGTAGGGCTGATTCGGACCGCTCGACATCGGCCGATGTTTGGCCACTGGTGGCGTTCAAGCTTGAAGGCCCGAGCTGGCGTCGCCGCCGCGTCAGCGCGGCGCGAACCTGCAGTAGGAGGACGAGGGAGACTGAGAAGGTGGAGTGTAAATTGAGAGGAGGAGGAGGAGGAGGAGGAGGAGAAGGAGGAGGAGGAGAAGGAGGAGGAGGAGGAGGAGGAGGAAAGGAAAGTGGAGGAGGACCGGGAGGACCGGGAGGAGGGGCGCGCTGTGCACGCTCTCCCTATGCCCAGCAGGCCCTCCTTCGCGCCCGGCAGCTGGTCGCTCCAGGTGTGGACGAACAGGACCCAGCCGCTGCTGCTTGCGAGCGGTGCTTCGTCGGTCACATGGAAACCGGTTATTGAATCCAGAAAAGTGGTTTTTGAATTCAAGGAACTGGTTTTGGAATTCAAAACGCTGGCTTTCGACTGGCTTCTGAATTCGAGAAAGGAGAGAGACTGGAAGCGTGTCCTGGGTGTCCCTGCAGCGAGCCCAGGTGGGAAGCGCGAAGGGGCAGGCCTTCTCAGAAGGCGGCGGAGCTCCTCGGAAGGCCTCGCGCCTTCTGGGAAGCCGTCCCTGTCTTCGGAGAAGGCCTAGAACACTTCTCGGAAGGCCGAGGCCTTCCGAGCCTTCTTGGAAGGCCAGCGCCCTCTCACCTCTCCCCCATGGCTCGCCGCCGACAAGAAGCAAGGGGGAAAGACCAGAACCACCTGACCGACACAGTCAAATCGAATGCGACACGCCATTGACGCGCGGCTACCCTCCACCCCCACAAAGCCGCCCAAACAACGACCACCACAGGACTGAGGGCTGCTTTTCCTAGTCTTATCGCCGCACTGTCAGAAAGACGTACTGCTCGCTCCGTCGCGGTCGTCGTTGTCGTCGTCGTCGTTGTCGTCGACGTCGTCGTCATTCTCCTACCGCACCTCCTTGTTGGATGCACCCTACCGTCCCCGTGGACTGAACTATCATACCATATCGTTTTTGTTTGCCCATGGATCGAACACCAGACGCTGAAAACTGTGAAACGTCGTCATCGTGATCTTTGTTCACGTCCGAGGCCCAGGGGTGCAGCTGGGCGATTCTGGATACTCTGAATCCAAGCTTGCGGCGCTTCCAAGAAGAACAAACTGCATACATGCCGGTCGGAAGAAGCAGGCACAAACATGAAATAGGAAGACGGATAAAGTGGATTGGGTTGAGGGCCTGCCAGAGAATGACATAACGCCTCAAGCAATGCCGATTCTTGAAGTAGGAAGGCGCTAGAAGTAGATTGGGGATCTGGGAATCAAAATAAACCTACTTTCAACGACCGACGTGTAGACATGAACTCTCGGAGGTCCGCGCGGATTTCCTGGATCTGCGCTGAAGGAATATGTTCCGGCTTCCCGGAAGTTTATGAGAGCAGGCCTGGCCCAATCTCTGTTGTGAACGCTGCAAGGGGAGAGCGTGCTCAGAAGAACTGGGCCGGCTTTGCGGCAAGTCGGTCCAGAAGCACTGGCGCTGGCCCAGCTTTTCAAGGGGAGGCTTCTCAATCAGAGACTCGACTGCGAGGAACGAATCCGCTGTTTGATCGCAACGGCAAGCCTCGGCCACGAACAAGCTCCCCGACCTGAGTCTAAGGTTAAGTCGGGCATGTCCACCTACAGGGGAATTTTGGAAGAAGAATAAAACATACACAAAAAATGTCCCCAAATGGTCAAACAACTCTCCAAACATAGTCCCCAGACTATCTTTGGACTATTCTTGAATATTCCTCCTGTAGAGGGACAAGCCCGATTGAAGTCTAAGGAACGACTCGAAAACCGAAGCCCCTCCGGAACCCAAGGCGGTCCTTATTTCGGCGTCTTGGCTGCACACGTCGGACTGAAGGAATAGGTGAAAGCATGAAGTCGTAAGTCGGATGATGTGGATTGCGTTCAGGCCCACCCAGAGAATAACAGAACACAGCAGAGGCACATCGACTCTTGAAGTAGGACGGCGCTTGAAGTAGACTGGGATCTGGGAATCCAACAAATATCTTTTGGGAAGAACAACGAATGACATAAACATAAACGTTTGGCGCTCCGCGCGGATTTCTTGGATCTGCGCTGGACCCCCCTCCCTGGCGCGCGGAGCGCAACAGGGGCGGCGCCGGAGGCGCCGCCGGGGGAGCCCAGGCGCAGACCCAAGAAATCCGCGCGGACCGTCGCAAGTTTTTTACCTAACAGCTTTTGCTGATAGGTTTCTAGTGGTCTCAAAAGAGAGCAGCAGATGACTCCACAGGGGGGTCGGGGCGGGACCCGGGGCGGTGCCGCCGAAGCCGAAATCGCTTGGGACATCCTAGCAAAATCGCTCTTGGTGCTCCCAGAACTCCATTCCCGGGCCACATTTTGGATGCCCAGAGCCAACTGTAGGCCACTTCGTGCTCTTCGACTTCCCAGAACTCCATTCCCGGGCCACATTTTGGATGCCCGGAGCCAACTGTAGGCCACTTCGTGCTCTTCGATTTCCCAGAACTCCATTCCCGGGCCAAATTTTGGATGCCCGGAGCCAACTGTAGGCCACTTCGTGCTCTTCAAGTTCCCAGAACTCCATTCCTGGGCATGATTTTGAATGCCCGGAGCCAACTGTAGGCCACTTCGTGTTCTTCGAGTTCCCAGAACTCCATTCCTGGGCCACATTTTGAATGCTGAGGCAGGCTGATGCTGAGGCTGAGGCTGAGGCAGGCTGAGGCTGAGGCCGAGGCTGAAGGCAGACTGAGGCTGAGGCTGAAGCAGGCTGAGGCTGAGGCTGAGGCTGAGGCTGAGGCTGAGGCAGGCTGAGGCTGAGGCTGAGGCAGGCTGATGCTGAGGCAGGCTGAGGCTGAGGCTGAGGCTGATGCAGGCTGAGGCTGAGGCAGGCTGAGGCTGAGGCCGAGGCTGAAGGCAGACTGAGGCTGAGGCTGAAGCAGGCTGAGGCTGAGGCTGAGGCAGGCTGAGGCTGAGGCAGGCTGAGGCTGAGGCTGAGGCAGGCTGAGGCTGAGGCTGTGACTGCGACTGCCGTTGCCGCTGCGACTGTCATCGCGAATGCGACTACGACTGCGAGAACAGCAGAATTCTACAACTGGATTTTCATCTGAATCTTAAGGGGAATGCTTTCAGATATGCTTCTACACATCGCTGTTAGGTTGCTTTGCCGGGATAATTGTGCGTCGTTGTTCCTTTTTTCGACTCTTGTCCTGGAACGCCCGAGGGCCTGCTGGAGCCTGAAGCTTTAGGAATCATGAGGGCCCCTTCTTCTCGGGGGGGGGGGGGGGGGGCGAAGGGGTAGGAAAGCGAAGGGTAGTGTAGAGAGTCGGCTCGCGTAGCTGGTTGTCCCGGCGCCGCCTGGCGCGGGGAGGCGCCCGAGTATCGAGGAGTGGGCCCAGCGGCGGGGCGGAAACCAGCTGCACGCAGCAGATGTTGTACCCCCACCCCACCTTTCCCCATCCTGCCCCGTTCGCGCGGCCCGATAACCCTTTGAGAGCGGGCTCGAGTTCAGAGGCCCAGAACAGTAGGGACGAGAGGTCTTTGCAGCAGGTAGTTCGAAGCAAACCACAACCCGGGTTGGTTGTCCCTAGTGCAGACACGGGGACCTATCTTAGGCTACGTCTTAACTGTGCTGCTAGTGTGTGTTAGGGTTCGGGAATTTCTGATCGGCGGCGAGCGAGTGGAGAAATGAGAAATAGAAGGCCTCCTGAGAAGGCGACGGGGCTTCTCAGAGGGCCTCCGGCTTTCTGAGAGGTTGTTGTTGTCTTCGGGAAGGGCTTAGAACACTTCTCAGAAGGCTGGGGGACTTCTGAGCCTTCTGAGGAGGCCCGACCCCTCTCACTTCCGCCCGTGCTCGCCGCTGATTTCAGTTATCGATCACATAGTTACCGTCTCTCGACGTGGTTGCTTTCCCTCCTGCTGGCTTCAGCCAGAACTTCCGCCCGCCTGCCGCCACTGGCGTATAACCTGCGCACCAACCTTCCAGGGGGGGGACAGCCTCCCTCTGTGATGAAATCACGCCGGGGAATTGTTTTGCCATTCTCGAACTCCTGGGGCCCCCTCTGGGCCCCAGGACCGCTCGGATCCGAGGTTGCTAGTAAAGGTGCCCCTGGCCCAAGGTGTCCCCAGCCTTCCGCTCCGTTCTGGATACCCTCGGGTCCCCCTGAGCCTCGTGAGGGGTGCTCTGGAGGCCGCGGGGGCCTCCTCGGAAATCCTGGTGGCACCCTGGGCCAGGGGCTCCTTTACTAGCATTCTAGCAACACCCGAGCCGTGAAACAAGGACTCGGGACGAGAAGCTGGTCCCGGGGAAGGGGTCTACACCTCTGGGGGTGCACGTTGCGAGGAGATCACGGCGTCGGAGTTGTGGGGTGCAAGAAGGTGGTGAGCAAGGAAAGGACTCCTACCCCTAATCAACCCTTTGGGATGGGACCTAAGTTGGGAGGGCGACCCTGGCCCAAGGTGTCCTCAGCTCGCTCCATTCTGGAGCCCCTCGGGCCCCCTGGGCCTCGGGAGGAGGAGGAGGAGGAGCAGGAGGAGGAGGAGGAGGAGGAGGAGGAGGCGCAGGAGGAGGAGGAGGAGGAGGAGGAGGAGGAGGAGGAGGAGGAGGAGCAGGAGGAGGGGAGGGAAGCAGGACAGGACCAGGGGGGTGCTCTGGAGGCCGCCCCCCTCTCGCTCCCCCCCCCTGAGCGCGCAGCCAACCTCCTGCTGCCGCCGGGGTGTTCGGGTTTCCTCCCGCGGGCGCTCTGCACGGCTGCAGGCCCCCGGAAGGGCGAGCTTTCTGGGAGGGGCCTCGTCGCCGACGAACCGACGGCACCCTCGCGGCGAGGAAAGACCCAGACATGCTCGCGTCGTTAAGAAATCAGGACGGGGGGGGTTCGCTGTTTTCGGCCCCGGGGGGGCCCTCGCCGGGCCCCGGGGCCGTCAAACAACGACTCGGGATGAATTACTCACTGCGTGGAGCTCCCCATATGCGCATCTCCACAAACTGACCGCGAACAGGCCCGTGTCGTACCCCCTGGCGGCTCCTTTCAGGGGTGCTGAAACCAGCGCCCCGCCTGAGACATCCTCAAAATCTGCTCTGAAAGCCAAAACTGTTGGGCATGAACAAGAGCAAACCGCCTGAGACATCCCCACAAACTGGCCGCGAACGGGCGCGTGAAAACACCCCTGGCGGCTCCCCTTGCGAGTCTGAGTATGACTAGGTCTGAGTATGAGTAGGTCTCAGTCCGTGCGTTGAGTAACTCAGACTATGAGAAGGTCTGAGAATGTGTAGGTCTGGGTATGAGTAAGTCTGTGTATGAGCAGGTCTGGGAACGAGTCTGGGTATGAGTAAGTCTGGGTATGAAGGAGTCCCAGCATGAGTAAGTCTGAGTATGAGTAGGCCTGCAGATTGTGTGTTGAGTAAGTCTGACCATGAGAAAGTATGAGTATGAGTAGGTCTGAGTATGAGTAAGTCTGTGTATGAGTAGGTATGGTCTCTCTGGAGTCGGCGGCGTCCGAGCAATAACAAGAACCCCATCTTAGGATATGGGGAAAAACCGGTCCCGGGGAAAGTGTCGGGGATTCCTGGGACCCCGTGTCAAGAAAATCAGGACGTCGCACGTTTGGGAAGAGGAGCTCCGAACCTGAATGACACGGTGAAGACGTGGCCTCTCTTAGCCCTTGCATCAGGGATAACAGAGCTGGGCGGTGTGGTTCGATACCTCTTCAGAAAAGACCCCCTATTCCTCATGTTCTAGGCCCTCCTAACTTAGGTCCCATCCCAAAGGCTTTGGGGCCCTTCCTTGCTCACCTCCTTCTTGCACCCCACAACTCCGACGCCGTGATCTCCTCGCAACGTGCACCCCCAGAGGTGTAGACCCCTTCCCCGGGACCAGCTTCTCGTCCCGAGTCCTTGTTTCACGGCTCGGGTGTTGCTAGAATGCTAGTAAAGGAGCCCCTGGCCCAGGGTGCCACCAGGTTTTCCGCCCAGGCTGCCCAGGCGGCCTCCAGGGCACCCCTCTCGAGGCCCAGGGGGGCCCGAGGATCTCCAGAACGGAGCGGAAGGCTGGGGACACCTTGGGCCAGGGGCACCTGTACTAGCAACCTCGGATTCGGGAGGAGGTGCTCCCGCCCAACGGAGGGCTGGCGCGAAGGCTCTACGCAGGCGGCGACAGGCGGGCGGAAGCTGGCTGAAGCCAGCAGGAGGGGAAGCCACCTCGCCGAGGGAGGGTATACGATCGGTAACTACAAACGGCGGCAAGCCCAGGGGGAAGTGAGAGGGGGCAGGGGGCGGGCCTCCTCGGAAGGCTCGGAAGTCCCGCGGCTTTCTGAGAAATCCTATAAGCCTCTCCCCGAAGACGCAGGAAGCCTCTCAGAAGGCCAGGCAGAGGCCTCCTGAGAAGGCACGCCGCCTTCTGAGAGGGCCTCCTCCTTCCCACTTCCCCCCCTCGCTCGCCGACGAGTAGGGTATCACCTTGGGCAACCGAGCTCGTGGGTGGGACAGAGTCCCCATCTAGCAAAGCACCTTTCGTGAAGACGATCCGCGGCCAGACCCGGCGGGCGCTGGACCGCAGAAGCGGCGGCTCCACCGCCGCCTTGAGAACCGAACCAGAAAGGAAATTCGCCAATCGACTTGGCCAGACGGGGCTTGTGTCAACCTCCGTGGCAACGAGGAACCAGCGGGTTGCGGGCCTAGCTCCCCGCGCCAGTTCCCACGTTGTCCTTTCCGTTCCCTCCCGAGGCCTCATCGGGGGCGTGGGGAGGGGGGGCGCGCGTAACTGCATGAGGAGATGGAGACAGGGGAGAGCGTCATCCCCAAATTTCGCCAGGCCAGCTAAGTCGCTGATGTATTGGCGATGCGTCGGCGACGTGAAAATCGAGCAAATAATGCCCCAGATCGCGCGGCGATGCGGCGCAGCCCTCCGACCGAATCCTCGCACCAATGCTGGGAGCTGCCAGGAGCGATCCTTGCCCAAAGGTCTCCAGCTCCCCGCGCCATTCAGGAATCCCATGGGGCCCTCGCACTCTGGAGGCCACCCAGGCCTGCCTCGCAACGCTGGAGGTTGAGCAGGGACCGATCGCCCCGGCATTCCTATAGGCCTACCACGAAATGTTCTCAGAACCCCAAAATGTTCTAAGAACAAAGACAATGTTCTTAGGACACAAGCCCGATGTGTTACATCTAGACAGTCTCGGCCAGCAATATTCTAGGAACGTTTCGCGCGGACCACAAAAGGCTCTCAGAACATTCCTTGCTGGGCCTATAGGCCAGCTGGGACGCTTCGCCACTGCTCGAGGAGGTCTGCACCCCTTCCTGGGGACCGGCTGTTCATCCCGAGCCGCTTCGTCCACGGCCCCCGGGGCCTGGTTTGGGGGCCCTCGACGGCGGAGGCCACCCGCCGTGGCGTGCCCAAGGCGCGGGGAGTCGCGCGGAAGAAACAAGCTGCTGCATCGTCGGGGGGCCTCAGCTGTCCCATCGCGCGCCAGATCTCCGTGCCGAGTCCACACATCGACTCCGCGTCGAGTCCACGTCGAGTCCGCACCGGACCCGCGTCGGGTGCGAGCGACGAGCACAAGTTTCGGGGCAGGCAAGGCCCTCCGAAGGTGCAACGTAAAACGATGGGCCCAGCTTCCACCACCGCTACCATACGTAGGAGTGGGAGGAGGAGGAGGAGGAGGAGGAGGAGGAGGAGGAGGAGGAGGAGGAGGAGGAGGAGGAGGAGGACCTCCTCAGCCTCCCTTCTCATGGCAGCGGTGGTGGAAAACGTGACCATCAGAAAAAATGCCTCGCCTGCCAGGCACCCGCAACCATCCCAGCGGCCACTCGTCGGAGGCCTCGCACCGGCTGCCGCCGGGCGGCAGGGGCGGAGCCTGCGCCGCGCCTGCAGACGGGGGGGAGGGTCTGGGCGCGGGAGCGGGGGGAGGGTGGGGTCAGGTGCGCCGAAGACGATGGGCCTGTTTGCCACCACCACCGCCACCAAAGTCGGGGGGGGAAAAGGAGGAGGAGGAGGAGGAGGAGGAGGAGGAGGAGGAGGAGGAGGATTTGTTTTGACATCGACATCAAAGGAGGGTGCCTGCCCAGACAATTAGAGCAGGCTGGCTGGCCAAGGCCAGCATGTTACTAACACCTGAAAAAAGAGGAAAGGCAGGAGGCCACAGAAGACATCTCCAGCTGGCTGGAGGGTTCCCCGTGGCTAGCTGCTTCTCCCCCAGGCATTCGTCTGAACTTGAGTCGCCCTCGTCGCGGTGTGCGAGCACCGAGACAAAAGGTGCCTCTCTTGCTCCACGCCGAAAAGGGGACGGGGCACTGGGCAACTCAATTCGAGGATCCTCCTCGAAAAGGAAATGGGCAGGATGAGGAGGAGGAGGAGGAGGAGGAGGAGGAGGAGGAGGAGGAGGAGGAGGAGGAGGAGGAGGACCCCCCTCCCCCTCCTGCTTGTGGTGGTGGCGGTGGAGGATGCAGGCCCACCAGAAGAAGGGGGGGGGGGGCACACGGAGCGGGGGGTCGGCGCATCCTGGCCCGAGGCACGCGCGCGGACGAGCCAGGGCTGGGGGCGGAACTCGCACGGAGCGGAACTGGCGCGGGACGCAACTCGCAGGGGCGGGCGGAACGCGCAGGCGCCGAGCTCGCACGCACGGAGCTCCCCACGAGACGGAGTCCACACGGACGGAACTCGCGCGAACGAGACTCGCACGAAACGCAACTCGCCCGGGCGACCACGCTCAACGGATCCACGCGCGGCGGAACTCGCACGCGTGCGAGTTCCGTCCGTGCGGATTCCGTGTTTGCGAGTTCCGCGTGTGCGAACTCCGCCTCGTGCGAAATCCGTCTATGCGAATTCTACTCCGACCGTGCGAATTCCGCTTCGTGCGAGTTCTGCGCGTGCGGGTTCCGCACGTGCGGGTTCCGATCGGGCAGCGGAAATCGCACGAAAATAATACGGGCAGCGGAACCCGCTCGCAATAAACCGCTGTACAGACAGTAGTCGATAACTACTGGTCCAACGAAGAGAAGAACGAACGAAGGCGCCAGCTAGAAGTTCTGCTTGATTTCGTACGCGATTGGCTTGGCCACGAGCCATGCTTTCCTGCAGTTGATTATCCTACATGGCCGTCGGCTGACACACCGTTAGCGCGTCGACGGTTTCTGCAGCCCTCGCTGCCCCCCACTACGCGACGCCCAATGGATCCCAGGGCCTCGTGTACCGGGACATGGCAAGCCCGGACTGTGAGACCGGGGCACACACAGTGACATTACGCAGCAAATTCCGGAGGTCTGCGCGGATTTCTCGGATCGGCGCTGGACCCCCCCCCTTGGCGCGCGGAGCGCGCCAAGTTAGGCGCTGGAGGCGCTGCCAGGGGGCTCCAGCGCCGATCCGAGCAAATCCGCGCGGACCTCCGAGAATTCATGCTTATGTCCCGAATTGCTCCAAACGATGGAGAATGTTTGGGCCCAGGGCATCAGTTTTCTCAGGCGTGCCCAACGTCCTGGTTTTATCTGGAAGCTCCCGTCTATTGCGCCCTGAATAAGCATTTGGGAAGCACGTTCGGGCAAACTTGTGATGCTGGCGTGTCCCCCAACAGCCCCGTGAAAGCGCTCGTCGGCGTGACGCGCGAGTTCGCGGAGGCAACTCGAGCTGCATACTCAGACCGGACTTGTCGAATGCGTGACGCTGGGACGACGTCTGTTTCGCGACCTCAAACATTCGGCGTGCCCCAAGGATGCCCTCTGTCACCGTTCTTGTTTTCAATCGTCATGACGGTTCCGATGCACGATTCAAACCGGTCTTTCCAAGCGCATGGGCTTGATCAAAATGGCAAACTCCCTGTCAATGCACCCATTCGTGCAGATGGTACGCTTGTGGTGGGAGTGCAACATGAGTTTGTGGGCGAACTCACGCACGATATCCAACGAGCTAAATCAAACTACGGCGTTGTTTTCGGCAGGGGCAAGAAAGTGGCGATATTCGAGCCTTGCATGTTGTCGAAACTGATGTACTGCATGCACACGCGCTGGCTTGACATATCTGAATGCAACAAACTGGATGCATGTCAAGCCCGCTGCCTACAACGGCTCGCAAGTAGTGGTCACTCCTCCTAGAGCCGTGTCAGCACCGACGCTGTTTTGCAACGTTGCGGCGTGCAGAGATTCAGCTCGGTGCTCATGTTCCGGCAGTCAGTCCTGCTGGGTCTGATCGCCCGCATGCCGACCGAACACCCAGTTCGAAGATGCGCGTTCCGCCCAGATTCCTTCGACCTTGTGGTGCCAGCGGCGTGGCGGAAGGGCAGGCCGCGCAACGTCTGGGAGAACAAGGTGCATGCGCTCGCGTGCCCCGCGGCGGGCGGCAGAGAAATACTGGGTGCATTGCGGGGCAGTGTTTTGGCAGGAGTAGAATGGCGCACACTGGTCAGACACTTGAGCTCTAACGCGCGAGTGCTTTTCTTCAACGTTCAGGACCAACTCCGCCTGCCCCGTGCCTCCTTTGCCCTCCTCCCTTCCCTCTCCCCACCTCTTCCGCGCATCGCCCGGCAAAAAAGTTTGATGATGCATTTTGTATCATGAGTTCTATGGGTGACATATGAAAGCCCGAATGCTGGCCGAGCTTCCCCGCCCGCCTGCCCGCGGGGCGGTGTCGTCGTACCCTCCCTCCTCTGCCGTCCTGCGTCGCTCCTCTGCCTGTTCTCTCTCCTGCTCGTCCCCGGGCCGGCACCCGTCGTCGCCCTCCTCCCCTCCTCGCGGCTGCCGTTCCTTGTCGTTCGCTCTCCTCCCTCCCGCGTCTCCGGGTTCGTCCTGGACCCCGGGTGTTGTTCCCTCCTCTGCCCCCTGCTGCTGTTGCTCTCCCGGGTCGTCCACCTTGCTGACTGTTCGGTGGTGAGTGGGTGGTGCATGATGTCACAGAGTGATGTAGTGTCTTGCACGGCGCGCCGCTGTTTCATAGCCGCACCATACGTGCACGGCTTGCTTCTGTCTCTCTCTCTCTCTCTCTCTCTTTCTTTTTTTTGATTTTCTCCCTCTCTCTCTCTGTTTCTCTCTGCGCCCTGAGGATGCACCCTGGGCGCGCTCTGGCCAGACTCGCCAAGGGTTGTCTGGCCATGACCACTCGGGGGACCCATACAGGCCCCCTTATCAGGACACGAAATGATTACCACAGCAGAGCACCCTAAAAGCAGCAAGGGTAGAACGAGGCAGGTCGAGGAGTAGGAGGTTGGCAATTCGGTGACATGAGGGCACAGCCATATGCACCGTAGCGTCTTTGGGGCAAGGATCTGTGGCCGTCCGAACCAAAAACGTAACCAGCGAGAGCACGATCCCTGAAACAATTGCCAGGACACCTGCAGCGAAACGGCTGCCAGACTGGGCCATTTTGGACTCCCCGCCCCCCGGTGGGACTCTTCTGTGATCCTTTTTTCCACTGCGTACTAGAATCCTCGAGCGAAGCGCTCTTCGGAGCTTACAGAAGCACCAACAAAAGCCCTCCGATCGAGGGCCTCTCGGGTCACTCGGCGTCTCACCCCTGCACCCCCTTCCACGTCTGTCTCCCCTTCCAGCCCCGCGTCGGGGGGGAGCCGATCGGTCGCGACCGCTGCTTCAGGACGGAGAGTGAGGATTCTGTCACCTCTTGGGGTCCGTGCGAAGTTTCGAGAGTGCCTGGCTGTGTCGTTCTGCTTCTTTGAAGGGGCCCCAGGACACACAAATAAATACACACAAACAAAATGATTCCCCATATTTTCCCATTTTTTTAGTTTTTGTCTTCCCCCCCATTTCCCACATTTATCTCTATTTTCCTGGGAGTGGACGATTAATTGTGTCTGTGTGTTTTTTCCCCTTCTGATTCTTGGCGCGACAGCCGTCGCGCGACCGTGTGCAGCGCAGCATACACAACGAGAGGGTTTCCTCCGGAGCACGGCGGGCCTCGGCCACGAAGGGGCTCCTCGACCCAGGCCCGAGGAACGGTTAGAGAACTACATCGCAGGCCTAGCGATTGACACCAACACCAATTTCGGCGGTGTGCCTCCATCGAGGGAAGAAGATCCCGATCTCGGTGATGGTGGTAATATTCTGGCCTCCAAGGTGGCCGAACTGTTGCCACCAACACCGAAAATCTAGGATCACCTTCCCCCTGTGGAGGCAGCCCCTGTCTTGGTGTTGGTGCCAATTTCCAGGCCTCCGACTATAGAGCTCTCCCGAATCCCAGATGGCTTTTCCCCAACCAGTGCTTGCACTGGTTGGGGTCCTAGCGGAGATTGCAAGATCTGGAGACAATTTCCCGCCGATGTTGGTAGCCGGCTGGGTTCCCGGATTCCCGCTTCCGGGTTCCCGGGTTTCTGGTTTTTGGTTCCGGGCCGACTTCGGTTGGTTCCAGGTTCCCGGGTTCACAGGTTTCCGGTCGATCGCCTGATCGATCTCATTATCGATCCCACGATTCATTATCGATCTCATGATCGATCTCACTCGCTCAATCGATCTCACCATCGATCTCATCAAACCATCCACTGATTGGGGCTTTTCTCTGGTGTAGCTACTTCAGCACATTGACTGCAGGTTGCTTTGAGGCTGGCCGTCAAGGAGGCGTGCGGAACACGCGGCGCCTGCCGCCGCGACCGCCGCCCGCTGCTGCGGCCGCCGCTGCGGCGTCTGGGGCGCCGGGCGCATCGGCTCCGCGGCGGGCCGCCAGTCGTTCGGCGACGCCGCCCTTGCGGGCGCTCGTCGTCGTCGTTGTCGTCGCCGTCGTCGTCGCCGTCCGTCACCAATGCACGCGCCTGGCTGGGCACGTGGCTCCGCGCCACACCGCCGCCGCGTGCGGAGAAAGACTCCCCGCTGGACAGCGCTGCGCCCGCTGGGCAGCACCCGAGAGAGCGCGCAGCTGCAGGGAGTCGAGCGTTGCCTGTGTTAGGTCGGGCCTGTCCCCTTACAGGGGGATTTTGGACGGCAAATTTAAACAATCCAGAAAAATCAAAAAATGCTCAAAAACATCATTAAAAAAACCGTCCCCGGACTATTATTTCGACTATTTGGGGATATTCCTCCTGTGGAGGGGCACGCCCGACTTAACGCAAGTGCCTCCCCACTGGGTGCCACGTGAGCCAACGACTGGAGAGAACATGACGACGTGCGGCAAGCTGGTCCAGAAGCCACAGCACTCCCGAGCGGGGCGACATCGCGCTGGGCACCGCGCGGGCGCTGGCAGGGAGCGCCTTCTGCAGCTTGCGCGTCACCGCGGCGATGCCCCGCTAGTCAGCACGCGCGCTGGCCTGAATCTCGTGACCCAGCAGGGCCACGCCCTCCCTCCTCCAGACCTCCCCGCTCTTCGCTTCTTCCCTGCCCCCCTTCCACCCTCCTCTTCCCTCCCCCTCTCTCCTTGGTGAGACCTCTGGCTGCTCACACGCAGCCCCCATCGAGGTAGACCCGGTGGACTCGACAGCCCCCCCGAAAGTCTGGGGCGGTATCAAAACCTCGGTTCTGGGGTCGCCGCGGGAGGCAACTTCAGGGTGTGGGCGCCACCCCCAAGCGGCCTCGTGGTCCTGGGAGGTGACCGCGCTGGCCTTCCCAGGGAGCCGGTCGAAGCCAGCCACGAACATGCCTCAAGAGGCGTCCCGTGCGCAAGCCGACCCGCGTCGAGGAGAGAGTGGGAGGAGGGGGACACAAAGTAGGAGTAGGAGTCAAGCTAGCCAGCTCGAGCGAGTCAAGCATGGCATGCCCAGTCCCACCCGCCCTCCCACAACATAAGAAGCAAAGCTGGCACAACTGGGGGCCGAAGTCACACCGGCCAGCCGGTTTGGTACAGCTGATGCGGCCGCGATGGCGGTTGCCGACGGGAACTGGCGAGCGCGTGTTGAATGCCGCGCACGCATTGCCAGACGAGTCGAGAATGGCCCGGTACACCGCAGGAAGCCAGAGGTGGCCGGAGGAAGCCCGACGGTCTGACAGGACACCCCAAAGCATTTTTGTGAAAAAGCATTGGGTTTTTGATGTTTTTATGTTGAAATGCTTGCAAACACACGGTGTTCGGTAGGATTCTGACATGAACGCGCGAGTGTGCTCTTTGTGGTATTTTTTGCACAGGATTCGCGGCCTGGGTGCATGACAGAGCATCGCGAGTGCACCGCGCGATGACGTGAAATCGCTGGATTTGACAGAATTCTTAAGATTCCTATGGTTTTCCTATGATTTCAGCAAGAGAGCCCGGGCGGGAAATTTGTACAATTTTTGTGAAAAAGCATTGGGTTTTTGATGTTTTTATGTTGAAATGCTTGCAAACACACGGTGTTCGGTAGGATTCTGACATGAACGCGCGCGTGTGCTCTTTGTGGTATTTTTTGCAATGGATTATCGCCGTGGACGACAGGACGTCCATGTCGAGAGGAAAAAATAAGAAAAATGTTGATTTTGTATTGTTTTTTACAGGTTAGGATGGGACCACCCGGATGCGGCCCCTATCGGCCGGCCTGAGGGGGGAGTAGGAGTATATTCGAATAAGGAATAAGGATAGGAGTAGGAGTACGAATAAGAGTAGGAGTAGGAGTGGGAGCAGGAGTAGGAGTGGGAGCAGGAGCAGGAGGAGGAGGAGGAGGAGGAGGAGGAGGAGGAGGACGAGGAGGAGAAAGGGGGGACGAGGATCCCGCGTCCAGGCGGGACACGAGTCAGTGTACCCAGCTAGGTTGCTCGGTCGCCCGCGCCGCCCTCGGGCACGCGGTCGCCCAAACGAACGAAAACGTCGGTGCCGTAGAGGTAGGTGCCGTACGCGGAATCGTGCGGCACGAGTGAAAGAGGAGGAAACACACTCAGAGCCACTTGCGACCCACGGTGCTATGCCATGCCACACGGCTGCAGCACAGCATGAAACAGAAGCGTGCCTGGTACAGCTCAAAAGAGGAGGAGGAGGAGCGCAGCGTAGAGGAGAGATCCATCCGACCGACCACTGCGCTCAGCTCAACAGCTGAGCACACTTCCCCAGGCTCGAGCGACTGGCTTCGCCAGCGATCAGAGCGGAGGCCAGAGAAGCAGGGGCCGCGGCCGAAGGCAGCGGGGCGGGCGGCGGGCGCCCACCTGTGTCGAACGTCACGTGCATGTGGACGGAAAGCGGCATTTCAATCAGGGCCGCAGGAGGCGGCACGCGAGAGCGAGGAAGGGTGGCAGCAGCAGGAGGGACATCAGCAGGAGCGAGAGGGCGGGTCGAGAGGACAGCCATGGAGTCACGAGCGCGGCGGACGGCCACGGAGCGGATGAGGGGACCGAGCGGGCAAACGAGTGGCAGACTATTTTCGGCGCCACGCTCACCATTCACCCTTGAAGTGCAGAGGCCAGGATTTCCACCACCATTCAGCAGCTTCGGCGACGGCTGAGCCTGAGCCTGCAACAACGGGCTCGAGGAGCACCCGTGCACAGGACTTTGCGTTCTGCCAGTAACATCAAGCGTCATTGGCGACGTCTGAGCCTGCACCAGCGAGCTCACAGAGCACCCATGCCCAAGACTTTGCGTTCTGCCAATAACATCCAGCAACGTTGGCGACGACTGAGCCTGCAACATCGGGTTCGAGGAGCACCCGTGCTCAGGATTTTGCGTTCCGCCAGTAGCATCCAGCGATATTGGCGACGACTGAGCCTGCAGCAGCGGGCTCGAGGAGCACCCGTGCACAGGACTTTGCGTTCTGCCAGTGGCATTGTCATCCAACTCGTCGCTATGTCCACCACGTTCGGGAGTGGCGATCAGCGTCGATGGAGTGCTCGGGCAAGACATCGTGGGAACCAGTCTTGGAGTCAAGCATGGTGACTGTCCTGGGGCCAAGCCTGCGCCAGCGTCGAAGTCGGCTTCACCATCACCAGCGGCCGAGACAGCATGGACGACAACAGGGTCGTCAGCAGAGGAGGTGGAAGGGTCGTCGGTGAACGTGCGCGGTGTCGGTATGAAGGACGGCGGCGGCTGCCATTTCTTTTCTATCTGGTCAGTGGGAGACGCCATACGAAGAGTTCTGACCGCTGCTCGAGTCGCCGAGTTCAGAGCATCAGGGGAAACCCAATTGCGCTCACGCATAGTGTGATACGTAGTGAACATCACGACCATCTCCTCCGCCCGTTCCACACACGGTGCCGTCAGGGACAGACGTTCGTGAAGAAAGGCAGGAAGAGAGCGACCCAGTGCGCGACCGACAGCTCGAACCAGACGGTGGCACCGCATGTAGTGGCACTGTCTGTCAGCACAAGAGTTACACCCAAAGATACAGCGCCTCTTCCCCGAATGGTAACTTATTCGGTAACTTGTGAGCCAAGCAGATGCCCACGTCTTGATAACAGGGAAGATCCAGCTCGTGGGCAGCAGCTGCAGCAGCATCTGAATCGCCTCCCACGGCACCCGATGTAGAAAGGGTTCATTCATGGCAAAGTAGCGTGCCAGCCTGGTCTCGAAAGTCGCGCTCAACGGGAACGGCGTAACGAACTGCTCGAAAAGTGCCGAGGTGGCTGCTCTCTGGAATTTGAGCTTCCGCCCCGAGGCCAAGAGCTCCGAGGCGATCGCAGACGTACAACATCGCAGGATGTCTGAAGAGTAGCCAGCATGTGCAGAGCCCTGACGCAGCCAGGCGTGGGTCTGCAGGATGGGTGGAAGCCGCCAGTGCCGTCCAGCGTCACACATCCAATCCTCTCGAGTACGACAGGTCGCGAGGGAAGCGTCATCAAATCGCCCCTGCATAATATCATCATTCCATGAAAGAGTGGTGTTAGTAATGTTAGAGCGTATGTGAGTATGCTCGCTGAACGTAATGGTAGCAGCTCGGGACAGCGCGGCAGCACATGCATGCCGCACAAGCGGGATCTTGGGGCCTCCCCACGAAGAGAGCTGGGCCCAGCCAGAGGCAGGTAGAGTACCCATAGGAGCACGGAATACCTGAGTAAGCACTGAGAGCTCGAAAGCGGCCATTCTGGGAGGCAGAGGGAAGAACTGGGCCAGGTAGGACAATACAGGGGGGGCTCTGGATCTGTAGAGCACGCCGTTGATTCCCAAGGGGGCGGAGCCTGAACCGAGGAGCCTAGCGCGCAAATTCAATTTCATCCGAGCAGCGTCCCACTGCATCTGGATCGTGACGTCGGGCCCCAAGAGAACGCCCAAGTACATCAGGTGGGCCACGACCTCGAAAGCTTGCCATTCGGGAACAAGTCGGCCAAGGATAGCACGTGTCCTTTCCAGAAGGTCAGGGGTGAGCGTCGCGTGCAGCGGGGTGACTTTGCATTTACTGACATTGAGGCAAAGCCTAGTTAGGAGCCGCACGAAGAACCAACCTCCGTGAGAATGGGGCCCATATTGCAGCTTGGCGTTCCAACAGCTGCCGACGACGAAGCGAAGTGGGCGGACGGGTCGAACGAGAGCCTGCAGCAGCGTCAGCAGCGGCACGAATCTCTTTTTCCAGGAGACGCATATGCACTCCATCCGCCCACATGTGGAACGATTCAGGATGACGAAGGACAACTTGTGAGCCTCCGACCTCGAGCAGGTCAGCTGCGGTAGCCGAGGTCGCCACCAGCCGACGAGCGAGCGGGAGATCTTGTCGCCATACTGCTCGTGCACACCCTCGGGCCACCAGCAATGCAGTTTCGTCGCCAGAGGGATGGTAAACAAAAATCCAGTCACGGACTTCACGGGCAGCCTCTTTCAACATGCCCCTGAAGTGTTCCTGGTAGACGGCTGCAGAGCACCACTTCTCAGCGACAGCGCCATCTTTGAACGTGCCCTCAATACGTTGATGAAAAAGAGGACTCTCGAAGACATGGCGAGGAACTGGCTGCTCAGATCTGGGACGAGCTTGACGTTGACGAAGCACCGTGAGCAAAGCAGCGTGGTCCGATATCAATGAGCGAGATAATACTTCGGGGTCTCCGATGGTAGAGGATTCCGCACTCATCTGGCACATCATCCACCCAGCCACTGAGCAGAAGAACCGATCGAGGCAGCTGACCGAGTTGGTGTCCTTGGTGTAGTGCGTCGGTGGCTCCGAAGAGATCTCAAGAAATAATCCCAATGTCCTCAGCCACCGAGCAGCCATAGCACGATGGTTTCGAGGATCAGTGGCTCGCGCAGGTTCAGGCCGTTGAAGAAGCAACGCCTCATCAGGGCCAAAGTTGAGGTCGCCCTGCACAATCACCAGGAAGTGTAGAGGATCAGCAGCTGCTCGCACCCGCGCAGCGTCGATCTCAGCACATATCTCGTCAATCTGCCTCGCGTTGAGACCATGGTTATGTATATTGAAGTGCACCGGCTGAAACCCCTGCCCGACAACGTCGACTCGAAGGACCCTACCTTGCACGACGGCCGTAGCATTGCTGGTAACATCGAGCTCCGACGCGAGCTTCGGTAAGACAGTGGCAACCCCTCCCGCAGCCGAGCCCCCATCATCGGCTGTGCAAAACGAGGCGTGGACCACAGCATCACGATGAAGACGACATAAATAGTCTTCAAGTTGCCGACGATCTTGATGAACTTCCTGTAGAGCCAGGATGGACCCAGGGAGGTGAAACTTCTTCAAATATGACGACTTGAGTCTGCTCTTCGCTCCTCGGTACTGTAACAGAGCACGAGCATTCCAAGTAATGAATCGCATCGATTCATTCCCATTCCCGCGAGACGGAGTGTGAAAGAGCCGCATGAAGCCATCAAAGACACCACGTCGTAGGAGGCGGAGGTGCCGTAATCTCATCCACCACTGCTTGGATGTCAGCACGCGTGAGCTTGATGTCCAAGATGCCCTCTTGGTTGAACTGCACAGTATATGGAGCGTCTTCAGGGTTCGCTTGGATCTTAAGCACGTTGGTCCAACCGCTCTTGAGGATGCCTCGTTCACGATCGACAGACCACCGTCCACCGAACTTGTCTGCGCACGCACCACGTATCCGACGAAGAGCCATCTCCGCCTTGACCTGTCGAGGGGATTTGTCGGGCTCCAAGTGCAGGCGAGCGTCGGCTGCGGAACCGGTGGCCTCAACGTTGAACACTCTCCACTGATCATAGCGGCGGAGGTTGCTGAGCACCTTCGAGACCTTGCGGGAGGCGAGGCCAGTGGCGCCGTTGAACTTGATGAGAAACCTGCGTGCGGGAGTCGGTGAAGGGCAAGAAAGGGTGTACTGGTCTGCCTCGAATCCGAGCTCCGAGAGGAACGGGGCCAGCACATCACGAACCTGCGGCAATCCAACCATCTTAGTACACATCGCGACCACCACTGCAGGGTCCGTCTGGCGGTCAAAGCTGGCGGGCGGAGAGGGGGCAGCGTCCTGTCGCTTGGCAACCTGAAGACCTTCACGTAGTTCGGCAATCTCGGCACGTAATTGTTGCAACTGCTCTGTGTGTGAGTCCAGCTCGATATTGAGAGTAGCGACTCTTCCAGTGACATCATCAATCTGTCGCTGCATCTTTCTAGAGAGTTCGTCAAGCTGCGGTCGGAAGATGCCCATCGCCTTCTGGTCCAGCTCTGACGGCTGGTCTTCCAATTGCTTCTGCAACACAGCCAGGGTCTGAAGGATGGCGGCATTGCTGGATTTGACAGTGTATCCCACTGTGGAAGCGACAAGCTCTTCGAGCTCCGTGCGCAGCTCGCTGAACTGGGAGGCGACACCATCGGCAATAACGGCTTTGATGTACTCGTCGGGGTAGTCGTGGGTGGCATGCGCAGCGGATGCTCGAGCAGGGTCAGGACCTGCGGAAACTCCACCAGAATGCACAGGAGCACCGCCAGCATGTACATCAGGAGAATGAGCCTGGAGCTCCGAGCGCCCGAAGACGAGCGCGGCACCTGCAGCGGCAGCACGGGAAGCGAGACGGGCGACACCTTTGCCACTGCCTGAGGAACCCTTGCCCTCCTCCGTGCGGGGATACTTGGACTCGGGCGAGCCATGGACACGTTGGCTTTCAGCACGTTCATCGTCAGGGAAGGTGGGCATGTCTTCGATCTCCTGGGCACGGCTGGCCAGGGCAGCGGCGTCGGGAAGTCCCATTGCACCAGGGACGTTCGCTCGCACAGGAACGGGAAACGCCTCCGTTTACCCGTGGGCGCGAGCGTTGGAGAGAAGGGTACGCTCTGCCAGACCGCAAAGGGTCTTGTCTGCCGCGGACTAGCGGTATCCACTTGTTCCGCTGGGGAACAAAGCATCTTGAGCCAAAATGGCTACGGAAAAGAGGAGGAGGAGGAGGAGGAGGAGGAGGGGGAGGAAGGGGAGGAGGAGGAGGAGGAGGAGGAGGAGGAGGAGGAGGAGGAGGAGGAGGAGGAGGAGGAGGAGGAGGAGGAGGAGGAGGAGGGGAGGAGAAGGGAAGAGGAGGAGAAGAAAGGAACGGGGAGGACGACTGTCTGTGCGCAGCCTGGGCCTTGCCATCACTCCTCCCCCCACCGGGCCAGAGATCTATCGGCCGCGTCTTGGGGATCGGTGGTGCGCCCTGCGTTGTTTTTGTTGACGGCCTGGGAAGCCGAGAACTGCCTTCGGAGGCAGACGGTATCGAACATCGTCCACCTTGCTGTCGGTTTCAGCACAGCGCGGCTGGGTCATCAGGGTGCGCAGTAAGGATGCGAGGCCCGCGGACGTCCAGAATGGAACCGAAGTTGCAAGACCATGGTCCATGGCCAAGGGCTGGGATGGGCCAAGAGGCAAGGGTGCAAGGGCAGCCTTGCACAACGACTCATCCTTCTGACCGCGTTTCCCTTTATGTACGAAGCCTGGCTAGTTTTGATACGTTGTTGCTTGCATGGCTCTGCTTTGGGCGGGGCGGGGCGTCTGAGGGCGACGACGCGCGCGGGCGGTGGTCGTCGTGGTCGTCGTCGTCGTGGTCGTGGTGTGGTCGTGGTCGTGGTCGTGGTCGTCGTCGTGGTCGTCAGCGTCGCCGTCGTCGTTGACGATGTTGTCGTCGTCGTCGTCGTGGCACTTCGTCGTCGTCGTCGTCGTCGTGGTCCTTGTCGTCGTCGTCGTCGTCGTCGTCGTCGTCGTCGCAGTCCTTGTCGTCGTGGTCCTCGTCGTCGTCGTGGTCCTCGTCGTCGTCGTCGTCGTCGTCGTCGTCCTCGTTGTCGTCATCGAGGTCTTCGTCGTCGTCGTGGTCCTCGTCGTCGTCGTCGTCCTCCTCCTCGTCGTCGTCGTCGTCGTGGTCCTCGTCGTCATCCTCGTCGTCGTCGTCCTCACCGGCGTCGTCCTCGTCGTCCTCGTCGTCGGAAGCGATGGACCCGCGGCTCCGCGCAACCGCCCGCCAGGGCGCCTCTGCGACTGCGCCCGGCGCTGCCCAGGCCGGCTGGGCCGCTCCGCCGGCTCCACCTCAAGGCGTGTCGCACGACGACCACGGCCAAGGCCACGAGGGCGACGACGACGGCGACGACGACGGCGACGACAAGAATCACGACGACGACGACCACGACGACGAGGACGACGACGACGAAGACGACGACCAAAACGACGACAACGACAATTATGATGACGACGACTACGACGACGACGACGACGACGACAACGGCTACGACCACGACGACGACGACGACGACAACGACGACGACGACGACGACGACCACGACGACCACGGCCACGACCACGAGGACGACGACAACGACGACAGCGACGACGACGACGGCGACGACGACAGCGGCGGCAGCGAACGACGGACGATGGAACCTGGACGACGGTCGACGGCCAACGGACGACGGAGGGGGAGCAACGACGTGGGCTCTGGGTGGCCGCCTCGTTCGCTGGCTGGCGCTCTGAGGTTTTGGTCGCTGGGCACCCCCGGGCGCCTGCTGGCCGCCCCTTACGCTCACGGCACGAGCTCCACATGGATGGAGCCACGCGTACTTCATCGCACAGACTGCACTGCGCAGATATTGCACCATATGTGTTGCGCCATCACAACCGCAACACACGAGTGACACCACAGCTGCTGCTCTGCATGGCTATTGCACAACGCAGCTTTTAAAGTATGGGTTGCACGAGTTAGACTGCACTCCATATATTTGATCATACAGACTGCCCTACAACGACTGAGCCGCAAATATTGCATCATGTGCATTGTTGTGCCCCCATACACACATATATATATATATATATATATATATATATGTATATACATATATATATATATATGCATGCAAATAAAATCGGGAACTGCTGGATAGCATGTCGCGGCGGCAGCCCTGGCGACACGCTGTCCCCTGCGAGCGGGCAGTGTGTCGCTCCGCTCCGTTGGGCGGGAGGCTACGCAAGGCTCAGGGCGTGGACGCCTGGGGACCGGGAAGCGGATGGCGTGTCGCGCCGAAGCGTGGTGGGCCAGAACCGGCAGAACGACACCCCGTCGCAAAACTCCCGACCGCATGCACGTAAAGATATGACGGGAAAAACAGCGAGAGTGAGAGAGGGGGAGAGACGTCGCACCTCAACGGTGCTCGGGTGGTAAGCACTCCTCGACACATAAAACATGCGTCCCCCCCCCCCTTCAAAATCTCAAGCACCGGGCGAACCAAGCCCGCCTTTCACACATAACTCCCCTTCCCTCCTTCGCGCAAGGGAGGAGGGACTCAAACAACCCCACACTTCGCGCAAGGAGGGGAGCGGCTAAACCCCTAGCGCTGGTTGTCCTCGTCGTCGTCGTTATCCGGGGCCCGGGGGGGGCTTCAAAAACCGCGTTCCCCCTTTTGACAGGGAAAGATTTATATGTCGATGTCGTCTGTGCGTGATGGTATGAACATGTTTGGTTCGATGTGATTTCCGTTCGCGTGGATCTACATTCCTTTCCCCTACATCTGATGTCCGCCGTTGTTTCACGCAGATCTGTCTCTTACCATTGGGCTCCTGAAGCGTGGATCTGGAGGAAGTTTCGAGATGAAACGCCGTGTGTGAATGAATTGTGAGGACGTTTCAGGCGGGAGCTCCCGCCCTTTGGGGCCGCCAGATCATGTTCGCAGTCCAAGCGGGCCATGCATACTTTTCCTGTAACTGTCGTCGCTCTTGGGTTTCTCAGGCGTGGATTTGGAGGACATCTCGAACGGCAACCTCGTGTGTGAGTGAATGGTATGGAAGTCTCCGGCGGGACACCCCTCCGTATGGGGCCGCCAGATCATGTCAGCAACCCGAATGGATCATCCACATCCTGGAACTATCTTTGCCGTTGGGTTCCTGAGACGTGGGTCTGGAGGAGGTTTCGAGCGGCGCCCCGTCTGAGACTGAATTGCGATGAGATCTCGGGCGGGCCCCCAGTCCCCATCGGGCCGCAAGGTCACTGCAGCAATCCAAGCGGGTCATCCATATCCTGTAGCCGCCTTCGTGTTTGTGGTCATGAAGCACCAGGCGGAAGTCTCGAGCGAGAGTCCTGTCTGTGAGTGAATTGTGGGGACGTCTCTGGCGGGAGCCCCTTTCCCATGGGGCCGCCAGGTTACGTCAGGAATCCGAACGGACCATCCATATCCTGTAAGTCTCGTCGCCTACAGTTTCCTGAAGCATGGATATGGAGGGAACCGCCCCGTTTGTGAGTGACTTGAAAGGGAATATTCGGCGGGAGCCTTCTCCCCATGGGGCCGTCAGATCATGCCAGTGATCCGAACAGGCCATCTATATCATGCAGCTGTCGTCACTTATGGGCCTGAAGCGTGGCTATCGAGGAAGTCTCGAGCGAGAGCCTCGTTTGTGAATGAAGCGTCAGGAAGTCTTGAAAGGGACCCCCTTGCCGATGGGGCCGCCCGGTCACGTAAATTATCCGAGCGGGTCGACCAAATCCGGAAGCTGTCGTCGCTTTGGGGATCCTGACGCGCGGGCCTGGTGGAGATCTCGAGCAGGCGGGGGCCCCCTCCCTATGGGGTCCGCCAGACCATATTGGCAACCCGAGCGGGTCGTCAACATCCTGTATCAACCAGGGCCGCGATGTCTGCGAGGCGGGAGTTTATCCATATCTTGCGCGAAGGAGCCCGCGGGGTTGTCCCAACGGCTTCGCGATCTGGCTGCCGGAGGACGCACCCCACCCTGCAGCGGCGGCGACGGCGCCGAGGAACATCGGCATGAGCGCCCGTGCACGGGCGGGGGAGGAGGTGCACGAGGAAAAACAGGCAGGAGGGGGAGGACAAGCAGGAAGGCTTGTCTGGCAGCAGCAGAGAGACAACAGAAAAAGGACCAGCTGGCCAACTTGCCTCCAGCGACTGCCAAGCTTGCGGTAGTGCGAAAGCACTCTGAGAGAGGCGCAAAGTGGAGTGGTTGGGCTCGAAAACCGCTTGAGCACAGACAGTTGCGGCCAGAGCGGAAACTTTCAGCATTGCACACTGTTACACGTTGCTACATGCTCCACTTTTCCTAAGGCCAGGCTATTCTCGCTGCAGCTGCGGCCGGGCTTGTCTGGCAGCAGCAGAGAGACAACAGAAAAAGGACCAGCTGGCCAACTTGCCGATATCCGCCAAAATCTAGCGACCTGGCGGTTGAGGCGGCACTTTTCAGCCGAAATTCCCAACAGTGCAAGCACACCGCGGAGACACCCAGCAGCGAGGCGCCGTTATCAACACGCCGCGCCACCAAGCGAGGGGTCCCCATCATCGTCTAGCGGCGTCGACACATGACGCCCACAAAGAAACCAAGCGAGGAGGGTAGGGCTCTGCGACCAACGTCCAGAGCTTGCCTCCTGGGGCTTTGCCTTCTAAGACCTGATGGCGGTCACCAGAATATTTGCAGCGAGGACCATTGCATTCTGCGCGCAGAGGCTCCAGCGCACATGGGATACCCGCATTCCAGCAGGCAATGGTAGTGGCTGTCCGCCATGGGGTTCCGAATTTGCAATATACAGTATTGATCAGACAAGCTTTTCGCAACAGAGGGGCCAGAATTGGCTGCTGCCACAGCCAAGACGACCTGGGGTTCTCCAAGGACACAGGCACGCTAAATCTGATGCAGCTTCGAATGATACGGACCGAGGCCTGGGCCAGACGATTTCCGACCGACACCTCGGTCGCATCCACGCCAAAAAGCTCAGGAAGGCCCCCAGGATACAGTTTGGACCTGAGGGGGCCCCCGGGACTGCCAAGCTTGCCTCGCCTTGCTGTCGAAAAACTGCTGCATGGCATGCCGAGATGCACCCAGCCTGCGCTGGGAACGCACTTCAACACGCGCCTAATTACTGCTTCTTTTGACAAGTCTTGCTTAGGTGAGTCTCGAATGTCCCAAGTGGCCGACCGCCAGCCTCTGCGAGCCAGGGCCTGAGAGAGGCCGCGCTTGCCCGAAACAATTCCGAAAACAACGGCCTCACGCAAGACCCGCGTCGTGGCATCTGCTCTCGAACTTTACGTCGTGCTTGAACCTGAGTCCTGCCTCGAGGCTGCTGGTTGAACTGGCCATCAGCAGCTGGTAGTCCCGCTGCAGCGTCGCCGTGCGCCGCATCACCCGCGAGCTTTCTCGCGCCTCTGCGCGGCCGCGGCGCGCTCGAACATGGCAGTGGAGACCGCGGCCCACCACGGAAAGAGGAGCTCCGCCGAGAAGCTCTTCTGCCTCGCCAGCCGCTTCACCAGCGCACCCAGGTCGCGCCTCGACGTGCCATCCAGCAGGATCGAGTCGTTGAAGCCCTTCGTCTTGGTCGGCAGCAGCTCCTCCTCTGGCTTCGGCTCCAGCGACGCGAAGCGGTAGTCGCTTCCGGCCTCTGACTGGGCTGGGACCACGCGGTTGGCCTGGAGCGACAGCAGCTCGCCTGGCCGAAGGTAGGCGTCCGCCGCAAGCACCACCGCCAGAGCCGCCAGCGGCTGCCTGCGCCTGACCAATGCCAGCGCGATGGACGCCACGGCGGCCCACGGCGCGGGCGCCCGTATCACCAGCGGCAACAGATGCCGCCAGCCCTGCAGCGCCTTCGCCCCCCTCGGCAGCTTCAGCAACCGCATGGCATGATGGAGCCTCGGCCAGCGATGGCCTACTGCCGCAAGCAGCTTGGCCCCGCCGCTGCAGGGCCCCCCCTGCGCGAACAGGAGGTCCATGTACTCCACCAGGGCCTCCCTGAGCAGCGGGTAGGTGTCGAGCGCCAGGCCGTTGATGCTGCAGAAGCCGAAGAACCGCTCCCGCTTCCGCTCGCAGTCCTCCGTGGTCTTCGCCGTCACGTTTTCCTGCTCCAGGACGGTCGGCCCACCAGTGCCAGCTATCCTCACGAGAGCCCGGTCCCTTGCTCCAGCCGCCGGAGGCGGGAGGAGGCCTCTCGGCCTCGCAGGGGATCGGCGAGACCTCGTTGATGAGCCGCGCAGCCGCCCTGTCGAGGTACCCTGGGCCGCCGCCGCTCTGCCATGGCCCCACGACAGCGTCGGGCACCGGGCCGC